CATGTGCAAATAATGATACTTTAACTTCTTTACCTATTCTTATTCCTTTTATTTCTCCATCTTTTCTAATGGCTCTAGCTAATGATTCCAGAACTATATTGAATAGGAAGGGTGGTAGAGGACATCCTTGTCTTGTGCCACATCTGAGAGTAAAAGATTTGTTTTTCCTCATTTCGAAATACATTAGCTCTTGGGTTGTCATAGATGGCTTTTATCAAATTGAAGTAGAGGCCTTCTATTCCAATTTTCTGTAGGACTTCCAACATGAATGAGTGTTGGACTTTGTCAAAAGCCTTTATGCATCAATTGAGATGATCATGTGGTTTTTAGATATGGCTCTGTTAATATAGTATATTACATTTATAGATTTTCGAATAATGAACCATCCTTGCATCCCTGGGATGAATCGTACCTGGTCATACATTTATAGATTTTCGAATATTGAAACATCCTTACATCCCTAGGATGAATCTTACCTGGTCATGATATGTGATCTTCATGATGATTTGCTGTATTCTATTTTCTAGGATTTTATTGAGGATTTTTGCATCTATGTTGTTGAGGGAGATTGGCCTATGGTTCTCTTTTTTAGTTGCATCTTTCCCTGGTTTTGGCATCAGTATAATACTTGCCTTCTGGAATGATTTTGCAAGAACTGTTTCCTTTTCAATTTCTTTGAAGTAATTGAGGAGTGTAGAGATTATATATTCTGTAAATTTCTGGTAGAATTCAGCTGTGAATCAGGACCTGGACTTTTCTTTGTTGGCAGGCTTTTTATTACATTTCATATTTCATTGGCTGTTATTGGGTTATTGAGAGTTGTTATATCTTCTTGGTTCAGTTTTGGTAATTTGTACCTCTCTAGGAATCTGTCCATTTCATCTGTGGCTTCCATTTTGTGAGTGTAAAGATTTTCAAAGTAGCTATTGATAATCTTCTGAATTTTCACTGGGTCTGTAGTGATTACACCCTTTAATTCCTTGTTGCTTGTATTTGAATTTTTTCTTTCCTCTTTTTGATGAGGTTAGCTAGGGGCTTATTGATTCTATTTAGTCTTTCAAAGAACCAGCTTTTTGATGCATTAATTCTTTAAACTATTTTCTTCGTCTCAACTGAATTCATTTCTGCTCTAATCTTTATGATTTCTTCCCGTCTTTGGGCTCTGGGTTTGGTTTGCTCTTCGTTTTCTAGATGTTGTAGGTGCAGCATGAAGGTGTTTATTTGTTCCCATTCTGTTTTCTTAATGTGTGAGTTCACAGCTATGAATTTCCCTCTTGAGAACTGCTTTCATTGCATCCCATGAATTCCAATAAGTTGTGCTTGAATTTTTATTAAATTGTAGATATTGTTGAATTTCTTGTTTAATTTCATCTATGACCCATTAATTGCTGAGTAGGGTGTTGTTTAATTTCCATGTATTTAGGGGATTATCTGGTTTCTATTGTCGTTTATTTCGTTTCATTGCATTGTGGTCAGATAATATGCATGGGATAATTTCTGTTTTCTTGCATATACTTCAGCCTGACCTATGGACTAGTATGTGGTCTATTTTAGAAAATGACCCACGTGCAGCTGGAAAAAATGTGTATTCAGCTGTGGTTGGGTGGAACATTCTGTATATGTCCACCAAGTCCATTTGTTGCAAGCTCTGGTTCAGTTCTGCTGCTTCTTGGCTAATTTTTTGTCTGGTTGACCTATCTTTTTGGGATAAGGGGGTGTTAAGGTCTCCTGTTAAGATTGTGGTAATGGATATTAGATTTTTCATGTCCATTAAGATTTGTCCTATATAGTTGGGTGCTCCCATGTTTGGTGCATACCTATTTATGAGTGTTACCTCTTCCTCTTGAATTTTTCCCCTAACCGGTATATAGTGGCCTTCTTTATTTCGCCTGATCATCTTGGTTTGAAGTTGAGACTGTCTGAGAATAGGATTGCTACCCCTGCTTTTTTCTGATGTTCCATCCTTTGACTTTCAGCCTATGAATTTCTTTATGAGTTAAGTGTGTTTCTAACGTACAGCATATTGTTGGATTCTATTTCCTAATCTCTGTGCCAGTCTATTTCTCTTAATTGGTGAATTGAGTCCATTTACATTGATGGTAAGCATTGAGATGTATTGACATGTTATTTACCTGTTGTCGTTTACTCCTTTTTCTCCTGTGTTTAATTGCTTGCCCTATTTAGTGGTTTTCTTCTGTTCACACTTGTGGAGTTAATCATTTTGCTCCCTCTCTAGAACGTCTTTCAAGAGTCTGTGTAGGGTTGGCTTTGTCATCATGAAATTCTTTAGTTGTTCTTTGTCATGGAAATATTTCACTTTTCCATCAAACTTGACAGTTTTGCAGGGTATGGTAGTCTGTTTTCTTTTCTTTTTTTGAAATTTGTTTTCATTGAGGACTTGAAGTACTCTGCTCCATGTTCTTCTTGCCTACATGGTTTGTGAAGAGAAGTCAGCCATAATTCAGATGAGTTTTCCTTTGAATGTGATCTGCTTCTTTTCTCTAGTGGCTTTCAGTATATTATTCTTGTGCTGAATTTCTGAGATCTTGAGTATTATATGTCTCGGTGTGTTTTCAATTAGGTTGAAGTTATTTGGAGTTCTGTATGCTTCGGTTATCTGTATGTCAGATTGTTTCCTCATATTTGGGAAGTTTTCTGCTATTACTTCTGCCCATATTCTTTTTATATCATTTGTATTGACTCCTTCTTTCTCATTGATGCCTATTAATCTCACATTGTTCATCTTTGCATCATCTTGTAGGTGATGGATTATTTTTACTGCATCCTAGTTGTTTTGAAGAGATCTTTTCTTAACTTTTCACTACCTGCACCAGCGTCTTCAAGATCTGAAACTCTGTCTTCACTTTCACTTTCTCTTAAATGGTTTTGCA